TGAAGCAGAAATAACACGGGAAGATTCCTGTTCCCAGCATGAGCTTCTGGTACCAGAGAATGGGTCAGAGGACAGTCCTAATCCAGATCTTAGAAAGAAATATAAAAATCACATGTGATATCGTAAAAGAAGATTCTTCTGTATCATCAGATTTAGGCCCATCAATTCAAGCCATTATAACAGTGCAAGATACAAAACCAGAGAAAACGAATCTGAGTTTTGGAAGGCATCATCAAACACTACTTCAACAGGCACAGTAATACCAAGTCTTCAGATGAATCCAAGTCAAAAAAAAAAATTTATAAAGAAAATTTATTGACAGTAAAAGCAACGGAGCAGTCGTGATATTAGTCTGACGACTGTGAAATTTTACCCTAGAAGCCCTCTAAAATAGAAGAAAATTTTAAAGAAAAAAAAAATTAGCATTACAGTTAGTGTCTCCTAGAACCCTCAAACTAGAAAGCCAGACTGCTATTAAAAAAAAAAAAAACCAGATTAATTAAATTCCGGCAACCTGGGATTGCTCAGAAACCTGGCTGATAAAGTGTACGTTGAAAAAGAAGATACTGTTGTAACTGAAAGGATGGATAATACTGAAAAATTAATTGCTGCTACTAAAACAAGATAGGAGAGGGAAAGAAAAAAAGAAATAATCTGAAAATCAGAGAGAGTAAAATTCCAGAAATATAAATCCTAGAAATGATATTCTAACAGAAATGGTTCCAGGTAGTAGTTTTACCAGACCATCAGGGTTCTTTGCAAATACATTTAGTAAAACTAACAATTAAGCCTGTACAAAAATAGTCTGAGGATACATGTTTTGTTAAAAAACAACAACAACAAAAAAACAAAACCAAATGAAAATAGGGATGACACTAGGACTAGCAGAATTAAATACTACGCTGAGGAATGAGATGGAGTTAAAAGAAAAGGAATCTGAACAAGAAAAAGATACTACTAAATCTGTAGAAGGTGCAGAAAATTATGAAATCACTTTAGAAATCATGCAAGATAAATTTGAGGAAGGACAGCTTGGCGTTTTGGAAAAAATACTGCTGCAGAATCCAGCGAAAACAAGGAAATTGACAAGATCACAGTAGGGCAGATAGAGTTCATGTCCCAAAAAGCAAGCAAAACCAGGCAAATATTGTATGATAAATACTCAAATTTACCGAAGCCATAGATTACATTCCAACAATTTTATTTAAGGTTAAAACAAGGTGTTAAGCAACCCGTAGAGCATCTCTGTAAGGGAAGCAAACTGATGCAGCTGCACCAGCAACTTGAAAAGATTCATCATGAAATCACAGCTTACTCATGTAAAGACAATGTTATGCGGAGGAAACGAGCGATGGTGTCTGCACAAAAGGGGCACAATTTGGATGTTGGGCAGGAAAAATGTATGGAAAAAAGGAACATTCTTCTAGAGCTGCCAGAGCTTTTGTCTGCTATAACAATTCAGTGTGCAGCCCAAACCGCAGCTAAAGGTACTAGACTAATGCTTCACTCACAGTGATTTAGCAAGAACAAAATATGCTTGCTTTGAGGGAAAAAAATACAATAGACACAACACTGTCTCCTTCTGGTGATTTAAAATCATAGAGCTATTAACTCACAGTAGTTAATGCCTGATTTATGATATTCTGAGGATCTGATAATACAGATTGAATGAATATAGTGGTAACAGTTTAAGAGCCAGTTAGTTACTCTTCCTGACTTTTGATTATCGGACTATTTGTGATGGGTATCTTTGGCCAGCAGTGCTTGAAGCATAGAATTAAAAATTAATCAATTTGTAATTTTTTTTTCTACATGGGTAAGCAAGGTGTGGGTGTTTTGAAAGCGGGATTTTATTTGCTTCAGGAAACTTACTGCAAGTCACTGAAACTGAGGCAGCTAGGTGCCTTCAGTCATACTTCTGCATGAACATGCCTGTGGTTTCTTTTATTTTGCAGTGAAGTTTGTTATCTTGTGGGAAGCTGATAATCTTTAATCCTACATGCCATTTTTAATTGTTCTTTTTGTAAAGCTTTTCCCAGTTGTAATTGGATATAATGTAAGAAAGAGACCTGCTAATCCTGAACAGGGAATCTATAGGCTAACTATCAAAACCAAGCATATTTTTTCCTGAACATTGATTTTAACTACATCACCAGTTTTGCTTAAAGCTCTATACTCCAAACTCTGTTCTGAGACCATTATTTAAACCAGTATTTCTTAAATCATACATCTGTAGCACATTTTTACTCTGATGTAGCACTCTAGTGTTAGGCTTTAAGTTGAAGAAAATAAAAACCACCCAACAAATTCTCTATAGAGGTTAATATCTTATAAAAGTGTGTGTGTGTGTCTAAGTCGAATGCTCTGAAAATAAGCATGATTTCCCTTCACAATTATTTGCAGGACTAGGCAGCAGAAGAAAGCTACTAGAAGAAACGCCAGAGAAGGAATATGAAATGAATGCACCTGTAGACAGTGAATGCGACAGTGACCAACATTCAAAAGGAATAGCGATTCCTCCAGTAAATCCTGAAGAAAAAATGGACAGTTCAGTAGTTGACTCTCCATTTGATGTCAAAAAGCCTTTCTCAGATGCCATCCAGAACTATGTTCCAAGTAACGGTAAGTGTTAAGTGTCTTAATTTTAAGGAAAATAATTTCGCAATCTTAAAAAAAAAAATTAATTGGAATTATATTAAGTTGACAATTGCAATGTAAAACCTTTTTTTTTTTTTTCCCCCTTATGAACAAACCAGGAGGCTGGATATATCAGATACTTCTGTGCTTGAATGCTCTTGAGATCAGGGAATCGATCAAATCTGCATTTTCAGCAGTGACACGTATTATCAAAAAGGTAAGAATTTTTTATGTGATCTGTTGTTGACATTAGTGCAAAATTAAGCCAGTTATTGGTTATGATGTTCTGCAATGAAGCTCCTAAAAAAAGAAAGAAAGAAAAAACAGATCCTTTTAAAGAAACCCTCTGCAGTCCCCTTGCTTCTGGGGGTACCTGATTCTAAATGAAATAGAGATTAAACAAGAAAATGTCAGGTTAGCTGCTGTTCATCTGGCTCTGTTGTCTGCACTGCAGAATCGGATGAATTTAGTGTGGGTTTTTTTTGTTGTTGTTGTTTGGTTTTTTTTACACAACAGCCAGGAAACACCTCAGTGGTGAAAATATCAGCATTTGGGGCTTGCTTGTTTGTTTCTTTTTAAATGAAACTTATAGCTCCCTCTAGTTCCCGTGACAGTACTGATTAAATTTGCTTGGACTTGGAAAGTTTGGGTTAGGATGAGTAAAATAATCAGAATACTTCCATTGTTTCTAAAAAGTAATTTCAAAGCGTTGATTTCCCAATATTCCCATACTTCATAATTGCATAAGAAATACTTCTCTAAGCAAATATATAAAATACAAAATGGGATTACGATTGCTATGGGGAGGTCTTAAATATCAAAAAGTAGTGACAGAGTGAAGGTTGACCGTACTGGACATAACTGCACAAGAAACAATGCTGCCAGAGAAATGCGAGAAAAGGTAGATGGTGTTGCACTGTCCTCTCTCCACAGAAGAGTAATATCAAGTAAAGTGGTATATGGTAAACTGCATTTATTTTGGTACTTTGGTTTAACTTTGTTTAGATTGGGTAACTGAAGGTTAAGAACCACATAAATTTGTTCCTGATTTCCAGTGCACTTAAATAGATTCTGGCTAAATTGCAGCCTAGAAGAAAACAGAAGGGCTTTGCTTTTTCTTCTCATGAAGAAGACTGGATTCCTATGCTCATTGATAGTTCACTGCTACGGCCAAACTCATTCTTTTATTGTTTGATACAGCTGAAAAAGCTGCTTCCACCTTCTACCTGTCAGGGTCTCTTAGGTGGTACCAGTTCCACAGGCAAGTCACTCACCTCACATTGTGAAAACTGAGTTAGCATACGTTAAAAAAAAAAAAAAAAAGTGTAGTTAAGTACATGTAAAAAAATGAAGAAAAAAATATAATACAGAAATAGAATTAGTCCTAGCGAACGAGATGAAAAAGAACCCATTGCCGTGCGGCGCTGCAGCTACCCGCTTCTCCCATCTTCCCCGACACCTGCGTACCGGCAGCCCCGGTACGATCAATTTTTAACAGAAAAGCCTCAGCTGCAGAGCCCTCGTCCCGGCGCCGCGGGACGCCTCCGGCGCAGAGGGCGGCAGCCGCCCTGCGCCAGAGCGGGAGGCCGCGGCCGCCCACCCA